CTCACCTTTCCAGGGGTCTGTGACGGCCCGATAGCCTGAAACTCAGAGAGTGCGAGGTGTGAGATCTATAATAGTCACACCTCTTTCTTGATGATTGTAGTAGGCCCAGGCCCACCTTCTCTCGCTCACCTTTCCAGGGGTCTGTGACGGCCCGATAGCCTGAAACTCAGAGAGTGCGAGGTGTGAGATCTGTAATAGTCACACCTCTTTCTTGATGATTGTAGTAGGCCCAGGCCCACCTTCTCTCGCTCACCTTTCCAGGGGTCTGTGACGGCCCGATAGCCTGAAACTCAGAGAGTGCATCGTTCAATATCTCAATGACCCACCTCACTCACTCACTCACTCACTCACTCACTCACCCACTCACTCACTCACTCACTCACTCACTCACTCAATGATTGAACAAAGCCCACCCTCTCTCGCTCACCTTTCCGGGGGTCTGGGACGGCCCGATTGCCTGAAACTCGGAGAGTGTGAGGTTGAAAGACCCACCTCACTCACTCACTCACTCACTCACTCATTGATGAAAGAAGGCCCACGCTCACTCGCTCACCTTTCCGGGGGTTTGGGACGGCCCGATTGCCTGAAACTCAGAGAGTGTGAGGTCCGAGATCTTGCAATCCAGCTGAGGGGAGATGCGGAGGGTGTGAGCGAGTGGGGGAAGGGTGGGAAGGTTGGATACAATCGGGGAGGGGAAAAACGACGAGAGGTTTGAGCTAATTGCAAAGGTTGCATCGAACGGCCTGATTGAGTGAAACTCGGTGAGAGTGGAGTGGGAGGGGGGCGGACGTTGCAGGCCGTCCGATGCGACCGCAATTTTGCAGTCCAGCTGCAGGGTTGAGAGGAGGGGAGGGGGGGAGGGGGTTACGTGAAATGCGTGTGATTTTGAGACGTCTCAAAAACACACTCATTTTGCGTAACTATTCAATTTCCGATGCGACCGAAATCTTGCAGTCCAGCTGCAGGGTTGAGAGGGGGGGAGGTGGGTGGGGGTGGGCGGGGAGGGGGGGGAGGAGGGATACTTTTGAGGAGCCTAAAAAGTTGACACTTAGTGAAACTGAAGCCCGAAATCTTCCACTGCAGCTGCAGGGTTCAGGGGGAAGGGAGGTTGGGGGGAAGGGTGCCGAATGGGGGGAGTGGAGAGGGGAGAAGGGGAGTGGTTGGGAGTGGAGAAGGGGTGACAGGAGAGGGGGAAGGGCGTGCATACGTGGGAGATAAAAGATTTTGCAGTCCAGTGGCAGGACGGGAAGAGGAGGAAAGCTGTGCATGTGGGCGTGTGAAAGCGAAGTTGTTGCTTCTTAATGCACCTCAGATGATGTTATTTGCCAGGCACATCTTACCCCGTCTGCAGTGAGGATGTGATTATCGTGAAAGATGACAGGGACGCCGTCCTTTGTCACCTGCATTACAGTCACACAAAACCAAAATCAATCACGAAAGCATGAAGAACCAGGAAGAGTCACTTGTCGCTCTTAACGATGGGGAGATTTGACGACAACGATGACACTAACCAGACACAGTCAACTTTCTGAGAATCCGTAAATCTCATTTGTATCACCAGATTTACCTGAAATGCACCACTCTGCACCAGGCTCAGCATCTCGACACAACGAATCAGAAGAACCCACCTGAACATCGAACTCCACAAAGTCGACTCCCAATTTCGCCGCGCGGTTCATCGACAGAACCGTGTTCTCTCGAATGTCCGGCGAGGCTCTACTAACTCCCGTTCCCGCTAAAACAGTTTCGGTCGCCGCGGTGGCGACTGGGGGAGGTCGGTTCTGTCCCACGCCTCGGTGTCCGACGAACACGAGCCGCGCATGGCCGGCTGACGTAGTCAGACCGGAGAGGGACGACATGGCTGGAGAAAGGAGATTGGGAGTACTCTCTGAGAGAAAGGTGAATTGTCCAGCAGCACTTTTGCATACAAATTCTTTTAGCCTGTAGGACGTGGTGCGGGGGGATTCCGCTCACAATCTAGGTAACCCCTCCTGCACGAATTAGATATTCTTTGTGCGAAGTACCATTGCATGTAAAAACGACTATAAAAGCCATCAAACCAGCCTTGTTTCGTGTAGACTTCAGAACCATTCCTTTTGCGGACCACTAAGCTGATGCATATGCAGTAGATTTGTTTTTGTTTATTTCTAACATGCGTACTCACATTGTAATGAAAATGAACAGCGTGTGTGAAATTGCAAATAATATGCTTTGTAGAGAATATTAGGTTCTGTTTATTTTAGGTCCTGTGTAACGGATCGTTCTGCATCGAGTATCTTTTGTTCAGACGTTGCCGCCATTTTGTCCTCCCGCCCCGCACTTTCAGGTGACGTTTCCAAATACCGAGACGCAGTCTTTTGCTGCTTGGGATTACCGCGTCGCCCGATATCTGTGTCAGAGATAGGCGGAATCTGGGCCATCGATACACAAGATTCCGTCCGGACCAGCGATAGACCTCCGTGGGCTGCACACCCTCACAGACACCCAGTTTCAGTGCGTATTCCTGCACTTCGGGTCATCAGCACTTCGGGTCATCCGAAATTGTGGGATCCAATCGGAAGTTCGGAATCAAGAGATTGGGGTGCATTTCGATTTTCCGATTGGATCCCACAATCTCGGAAGACCCGAAGTGCTGATGACCCGAAGTGCAGGAATACGCCCTCAGGCAGCCATACCCCGAGTTCCCGACCCGAACCGAGCCAGCGGGACGACCCAGCTCAGGGGGGTCCGAGGATCTATCTTGAAGTAGGTACATGTAGTTCTGGTGTCACGAAAAATACATCATTCGATTTTGTGTGTTGAACCCTTGAAGCTCATGCTGAGGCCCTTCTCTTCCTGTGTTCAACGAGGTGGGGGGCCCTCCATCCACACGCCTAGTGACAAGTCGACCCGACCCGACGCGCCCAGCCGGGTTACTCGCGACTCGATCTGAGCAGAGCTTGCTTATTGCCGCCATTTCTTTTCTGACACTATCGCTGCCATCCGTTTCTACTAGCACCCATCCCACACCACAAGCTGGGACGGCTGCGCTTACCATTCTCCCTTGCTTGAAGCTGGCTCTGACATGCTTGCTTGAGGCCACAACGTCGCTGATCGACTGAGCAGTTGATGTGCAACGAATGGGTCGTCACTCGCAAGAAATGACTGAAAGAACGGAGGATAGGCGGGTTGGCATCCCGTGTGCCAGTGATAAGTACTAGGCGCTGCCTTGCAACCGACTCCTGGACTTTCAACCATGCGACTCCACTTAGTCTTCGGGGACAAATTCATCGCAGGTACAAGTTGTTCAACGAACCTGACTAGCTACAACTGTCGCTTTTGATCGGATAATGTACGTGCGACGCATCTAGCAACTTATCACACGCGCTGCAGCTGATCCTGTCGCGCCTTAGTGTTCGCTGGCTTCCTAACGTTGAATTCTCATCTCTGAGTCGTCTCGAAGTATGAACCCTCTCTCAAGAATGCTCGCAGCAAACGCGTTCGAACGCTTAATGATGAAGTGCCTTTGCCGGCGCGCAGAGACAGTCAACAGCTATATTAGTAGAAAGGAAGTGCAGCATTCGGTGCCAGCCTCGTTCTACTGCCTAGTCTGAAACATATTCACATATGCTCAAGGATTGCAATAGAGGACTCACGCGCCACACATCGTTAGAAACAAATCCAACGGAAGTGCATCGTTGGACCTAGGCCTAGTGATGTGAGTAAAACTACAGCAGAGAGTGACTTTTGAGTCTACTCAGAAGCCATCTAACAACAAATAGAATAACGCCAAGCAGCGCTTAACAGTCCTGGTGTTTTGAGCTTTCTAGTAGCTACTTTTTTCCTTGTCGCTGCTGGTCATTCAGACCCTCAGGCACGTGTAGCAATCAAACTAGCTTCTCTCCTGGTGGAGAGTACTAACAGATAGCATGAGTCCGCTGCAGGACATTACACAGCACCGAAACATGGCGGCATCGCCGGTCGACTGGGCCTCGCATCGTCCGTCTAATACGCGGCGATCCGACGACTTCGCAGGCGGTGCCAGCAACGACCTGGAAAAAGCAGATTCCGGCTTACCCGACTGCTCTGAATGTCCCGACTTTTCCAGCCGCGAAGAACTTCTAGACAAGCGAACTGGCATTACAAGAACCCATTTGAGTTTCGAGACGAATGAAAATACTCTTACTGGTAGTGGTGGCTTCCAAACGGCGTTCGAAAATACTCTTACAGGAAGCCATTCGAAACGGCCGCGAAAGCCGTCGTCCGGTCTGAGCGGAAAGGAGAATAGAGACGTGATGCTCGGAAAGGAGAAAGAATCGTCTGACGCCGCGTCCTCCGCATTCGAATGGAGAGTGTCGCGCTTCGTTCTGCCGTACCTGCCGCCGGGATACAGGGAGATTCCGGTGGTGCCGACTGCGGGGAATCGTATCAAGTCGTCGCAGCTGGTACACTGGATAGGGCTGCTCGCTCTCTTCTCCTGCGCGTCCATCTGGCTCCTGGTACGATGTATGACTGCATGACGATATTCAGGTGTGCTTTGAGTCGACTCAGCGTGCACCTGCTTGCTTCCGGTGCTGCCGACTGCGGGGAATCGCATGAAGTCGTCGCAGCTGGTGCACTGGATAGGGCTGCTCACTCTCTTCTCCTGCGCGTCCATCTGGCTCCTGGTAAGGGCCATGACGACGTTCATTGCCACTCTGCTGTTCTCGTAATCCTCCTTGCCTTCGCACTCAAACCCTTGTCATCTCACCTCCTTGCACTGGATAGGGCTGCTCGCGCTCTTCACCTGCGCTTCCATCTGGCTCCTGGTAGGCCCACGACGGTGTGTCACGGTCTCGACCTCGACTGACCCACTGTGTCGTCTTCTTGCTCGCACTGTCTCGACCTCTCATCTCGCGCGCTTCTCCTGCGCCTCCATCTGGCTCATTCCATCATCAAACGCGGCGTTCCGCCTCTCACTAACCGCCTGAGCCCCGTCTGTTTCTTCCGCCTCCCCAGTCTTTCTCGCAGGCGCCGACGCTATGTTGGACTGTATCGGCACCCCCTCCTATGCGGTAACGCATCCGCGCGCGTTCCGCCTCTCACTAATCGCCCGCACCCCTTGTCCCCTCCCCGCAGGCGCCAACGCTCTCGTGGACTGTTTCGGCACCCCCGCCTCTCCCGCCGCGCCTCATCCGCGTGACGCCGACGTACGCGCGGGCGAGCGTCTGACGCGTCTCACTAACCGCCTGAGCCCCGTCGCTTGCTCCCTGTCTTTCCCGCAGGCGCCAACGATCTCGTGGACTGTTTCGGCACCCGCCCCTCTTCCGCCGCGCCTCATCCTGGTGACGCCGACGTACACGCGCGCGTTCCAGGCGGCGTACCTCACGGAGCTCACTCACACGCTGCGCCTCGTGCCGCCGCCGCACACGTGGATCGTCGTGGAGAGCGGCAATAAGGTACGTCACAGTTGCGGTAATAAGTTACGTTTCGCGTGCAGGATGCGAATGCGTCATGTGAGGCGGCTAGGAAGAGTTGAATAAAGCTTTGTGGGAACTGTGTGGATATCGAATTCCTCTGTGTGCGAACGGTAGCACACAGACGGACGAGACGGCCTTGCTGCTGCTGGAGCGCACTGCAGGCTATTGTGCTGCACTGGAGGCAGGCGGAAGGAGCTGCTGTCCTGCAGACGATTGAAACAACCGTGCCCATCAGCCTTTTTGAATCGTTGTTGATATCATAACATACCGCTCCGCTCTGCTCTGCTCTGCTCTGCTCTGCTGGATTGCGTGCAGACGGACGAGACGGCCATGCTGCTGGAGCGCACTGCAGGATACTGCGCAGCGGTGGAGGGAGGCGGGTGCCGGAAGCTGGAATATGTTCACATAGCCACAGAAAATGTAAGTTCGAGTTGTGGGATTGACTGAATTTATTGTGTTTTCTGCTTTAGAATTCCCAGCAGCGATAGCCGGCGGGTGCTGGAAGCCGGAATATATTCACACAGCGACAAGAAATGCAAGCTGTTCACATAGCAAAGCACCCTGCAATCTTCCCTTACCGCCTTGTACGCGCAGCAGCAGTTTGTGTCATGCCGTCCCTCCTCGCCATAGTCTTTCCACTCGTCGCCTCCCGCCCATACCCCGCAGGACGAGGACCAGAGGTGGTTCCGAGGCGTGGGGCAGCGGAACCTCGCCCTAGAGTACATCGAGAGGGAGAATCTCGAGGGGATTGTATACTTTATGGATGACGACAACTCGTACGCGCTGCAGCTGTTTGACGAGCTGAGGAAGATTCGGCGCATCGGGCTGCTGCCGGTGGGGTTCCTGTTCGGGAAAGAGAGCCCCATGCGCTCGTACGTTGGCCGCCCCATTGTGCGCGTGCCAGTGGAGAGAGCCAGAGAGGTCAAGAGGGAGCGGGTTGAGAGGGAGAGGGGTGAGAGGGAGAGGGGTGAGAGGGAGAGGGGTGAGAGGGAGAGGGGTGAGAGGGAGAGGGGTGCGAGGGAGAGGGGTGAGAGGGAGAGGGGTGAGAGGGAGAGGGGTGAGAGGGAGAGGGGTGAGAGGGAGAGGGGTGAGAGGGAGAGGGGTGCTGCTGTGGAAAGCAGTGGTGGCGACAACGCCGGTGGCAAGGAGAGCCCCATGCACTCGTATGCTGGCCGCCCCATTGTGCGGGTGCTGGTGGAGGGGGATGAGACGGAGAGTAACTCTTCTGTGGAGGCCAGCAGCGGCAGTGGCAGTGGCAGTGGCAGTGGCAGTGGCAGTGGCAGTGGCAGTGGCAGTGGCAGTGGCAGTGGCAGTGGCAGTGGGTATGCGGGCGAGGAGAAGGAGCAGGTGGCACGGGCGCGGGTGGTGGGGTGGGAGGCGTATGGCCGCCGCGTCCCCCTGCAGAGAGACCCCGAGGCACGGCGCTACATCATGGACATGGCTGGGTTTGCCTTCAGGTATGCTTGCGGATCAAAGACTGTTGAGTCGACTCAGAAGTCAGCTCGTGGGGTGGGAGGCGTATGGCCGACGCGTCCCCCTGCAGAGGGACCCCGAGGCACGGCGCTACATCATGGACATGGCTGGGTTTGCGTTCAGGTGAGGTGGTGCAGATTGGTTGCGTTCATGCATGCGCATGGCTCACATGCAGCAGATAGACCCCGAGGTGCGGCGCTACATCGTGGACATGGCAGGGTTTGCTTCAGGTGAGCAAAGGTGTGTTTCGCTCTCAGGTAGGAACCAAATCTCCCCTCTGTGCGCGCCCTGTGTTTTGTGCGTTGCCCCGAGACACGTAGTCTCTTGTTCTTCCTGTTGGCAGCAGATTTGAAAGAGCGTGTTTCAAGGTATACCAAAGCTCCTCTTCCTTGTGTGCCCTGGTGTGTGTGTGTGTGTGTGCAGCACGGAGGCTCTCCGCAACGGCACAGTCCAAGGCAAGAAGCAGCCCATTCGCTTCCGGCCTTCAAAACGCGGGTAGGGCGGCCTGACATGGCAGATCATGTGCTGGCACCTGAACCGTTGGTCCTCACCCTTAGCCAGCCTTGTTAGCGCTGGCAGCACTGGCAGCATCGGAAGTTGCTCGCCTGTCACTCAGCATACATGCCATCCAACCCCTCCTCTTCCTTATGGCCCTTTCCCTGGTAGCATCCTTAAGATTCACTTCCTAGAGCAGCTGATGCCACATGGTGACGACTTGAGGTGCTGGTTGGTTGATGGCTTATGTCTCATCGTGAATCTCATGAATCCCCTCTTTGTCCCCTTGCCCTTCTCCCTGGCAGGTTCCTGGAGACTGACTTCCTGGAGCAGCTGGTGACACACGAAGACGAGTTTGAGGTGCTGGCAGATGGGTGCAGAGCGGTGTGGGTGTGGCACAAGCACATGGAGGACCTCTCTTGGGCCACGTACCCTGTGGATTGGCAGCCCGAGCAGAGCAACCACCGCATTCCCACGTATGACTGGGTGAAGAATGATTCGAGTCATGAGGCTCGAGCTGGGTTGATCGGGAGGATTGCTCGCGTGACGAAAATACGTTACCGCCGAGTTTTGAGGAGATGAAGCGGCATGAGGCGGTGAGGAAGGGAGGGGTGGGAGTGGATGGGTTGGGAGTGGCGGCTGGACGGAAGGCGGACGTGAATCAAAAGGTGGGATTAGCATCAAGTGAGGATCCGAGGGGAAGGAAAAAGATGCTTGGACGATCTGAAGTTGGAGAGAATACCGGACAAGCAGCAAGGAGAGGGAGGCTACCACCAAGAAAGTAGTGTGCTCTTTCTTTGTATATTCTTAATGAAGACAATTGCCATTTATGGTACGTAAGAAAAAAAGAAACAATATTTTGGTGGGAAAACAAGGGACAAAGTATGTAAATATGTTATGAGACTGTTCATAGGGATATCAATAACGTGCATTTGCGAGCCAGGCTGGTCCTGAATCCTAAGGGCGGGGGCAGCGCGTTCATTTTCTTGGCTTAGCCCGAAACAGTTACCAGATTCAGCGGTTTGTAACCCTGATTTAGAGTAACGAGTGGACACGACGGAGTATACAGTGGATGAACGGTGGCTGTTTTCCGTGCCGTCAACCGGCCGCGAACAACACGCGCATCATTCGAGAATGCCTGTGTGCAGGTCAGCGAAACCGCACCACGAGTTCGTCAAGCGCGTACGACCCTCGCAAATTCATGGGTTCACAAATACAGCTTCGTACTGCGCCCCGTCACCAGATCCACTAGCACAGGGTTACCTCATTGGGTGGGCGGTTGGGCAAAAGTGTGGCGGGACCTGTGCCTAATTCTGGACGCGCGTGTCCCACCTGGGACACAAACTAAGCGCGGTGCAAAAATGCTACAGTATTTTCCTGATTCGACGGGCGTCAAAATTTTGGAAAAGTGGAGAAAATGAACGCGCTGCCCACGCCCTAAGGCGTAGGCGTCTCAACCATGTACAGAAGTACCTGGTTTGGAAAAAGTACCACACAACGTGGTGAACACTGGTAATCGGTAACTGGAGAAGAACCGTCTAAATGGTGCTGTTCGCCAGCACATCGTTTTTTAAATTGAAAACGATGGCATCAGCATCGCGACCGCATATGGAAACGGGGGCGGAACCCTCCTCCGAGGTTTGGGCGAAATGCCGCCCGAGAAACTACGCGCGCCCAAAAGGCGAAATTTCGCAACCGCATATGGAAGTGTCAAATGTTGTAGCCTATAGTGAGGTTTGTCTTAGGGGGTACAAAACTTAGGGTTAGCTATATGTACCCCAACCAACATCAATGCATCATCCATTCTTCATTTTGACATGGTATCAGTTAGGTTAGGATCCTGTGGGATCCCGTTCCTCCGTTCTCCGTTCGAGCCTCCCGAGCCTGATCCTAGCTCTCATTCGTCCCGGTTCCGTTGTTACCGCGCGTAGTGCCGCGCCTAGCGCCACTCCTAGCGTCGCGTCCTGCCCGCCCTTTCCCCCTCGTCGCGTCCCTTTCCCCCCGTCGCGTCGCGCCCTTTCCCCCCAGTCGAGTCGCGCCCTTTTCCCCCCGTCGCGTCGCGCTCTTTCCCCCCGTCGCGTCGCGCCCTTTCCCCCCGTCGCGTCGCGCCCTTTCCCCCCGTCACGTCGCCCTGCCCCGTCCCGTCGCCCTGCCCCGTCGCGTCGCCCTGCCCCGTCGCGTCGCCCTTCCCCGTCCCGTCGCCCTGCCCCGTCGCGTCGCCCTGCCCCGTCGCGTCGCCCTTCCCCGTCCCGTCGCCTCTGCTCCGTCGCGTCGCCCTGCCCCGTCGCGTCGCCCTGCCCCGTCGCATCGCGCCCGCCCTTTCCCCCGTCCCGTCGACCCTACGCCCTGGCCCGTCGCCCTAGCCCGTTCTCCCGCTGCGACTAAGTCCCCCCCCCCCCCCCCCCCCCCCCCCCCCCCCCACCTGAACCCTAATTTGCCTCTTACCTCCTGCTGTTACTCGCCTGCTCGTTCGCGTTAGTTCTCGCTATGGCGACTCCGCGAGTTCTTCGTTTCGACGCTGACGGTAGACCTCTTGACTTTTCCGTCTGGCTTCTTCGCGCTCGCCGTCTGTTAGAGAGTCAAGTCCAGGGGGGCGAGACCCTCTGGTCGCACGCTACTGGTGACCTCCCCGAGCCCCCCGAGCCTGCCGCTTTAGGTCCTGCCCCTGACGATGCTGCTACGGCTCGCTTTGCCCGTCAGCGCGCTGACAGGACGGCTTGGACGTCGCGTGACGCTGCGGCCTGCATCGCACTCAGCAGCCTCCTCCCTGAGTCAGAGGAGGTCCACTTCACTCAGGTTCGCACCGCTGCTGCGTACCTCACTGCGATTAAGGCCCGCTACTCTACTCCCGCTACTGTCTCTCTTGGCCGTCTTTTCCTCCCGTTCCTGTTTCCTGATCTCGCCTCGTTTGAGCGCTCTGCTGACTTGATCGCTCACCTCCGCTCGCTCGACGCTAGTTACCGCGCTGCTTGCACTGAGGCACAGCTTGCACTGCTTCCTCCCCCTATGGCGATTACTATCTATTTCATCGCCACTAGCCTCCCTGACCGCCTTGCCTCCGTTCGCGACGCGCTTCTGCTGAAGCACCCTAGTGAGCTCACCGTCGATGTCCTTGAGTCTACACTCAAGGACGTCGAGAGCAACCTTCGCTCGGTAGCCGCTGCCTCTGGTGCTGTGCCCCCCCCACTCTTCCACGGGTGCACAGTCCCGCAGTTACCCACCTTTACTGCCTCACTTGCCACTGCCGCTACTGACGCGACTGCAGCTGCTGTTACGACTGCGTCGCGGTCCCGCGGTAGGAGTGGCAAGAAAGGCGGTTCTGGTGGTGGTAGTGGAGGTGGAGGCGGAGGTAGTGGAGGTGGCGTTGCGCCTGGCGGCGGTGGAGGTTCAGGGTCTGGAGAGGCGCCTCGTGCAGTGACTGGTGACTCCACTGCGCCTGCTAGTGGTGGCGACGCCCGAGTTCGTCAGTCGCCTCCTGTACTTCCTGCCCCGGTTGGTGGAGCAGCGGCGTGGTACCAGGCTCAGCGTCAGCAGCAGCTTCTGCAGCACCAGCAGCCCCTCTCCTCCCAGCAGCCTCAGCAGCAGCAGCGGCAGCAGCTGGCTCCAGGGTCGGGGCTGCGTCAGACCCAGCGTGGTGCTGCTTACACTCCCTGCACCTACCAGGTTCTGACAGGCCCTCGTCGTGGCCACCCTTGTGGCCGGTTTCACCCCCCTGGTCAGTGCTTTGCTCAGCTCACTGACACGGTTCGTTTGGTCTACGGGGTTGGTGCTCCTGCCCCTGACTGGCTGCCTCTTGTTCAGCGCTACGGCTCCGCTCTGTGGGGCATGTCTGCTGAGCAGTTAGTTGATCTCATTGGTACTCCCCATGCTATGTATGCTGTTGTTGACTCTAGTGTTTCTGACTCTGCTTACTCTGGTGTTGTTAGCTTAGGTGCTAGCCTTGCTCAGTTGCCTGTTGCTAGTGTAGGTTCTTGTGTAGACTCTAGTCCAGCGGCTACCTCAGAGGACGGTTCGCTGTCGTTCACGCTGGACTCTGGAGCCTCTCACTGCTTCTTTCGTGACAGCACGACACTTACGCCTCTTCCTGCGCCTGTTTCTGTGGCGCTGGCTGATCCCACTTCGGGACCAGTCACCGCGCGTCACACTACCACCTTGCCGTGTCCGGCTGCTCCTTCTGGGTCTCTCACTGGGTTTCACGTCCCCTCGTTCTCCCGGAACTTGGTGGGCGTGCGACCCCTCGTGAGTCAGCACGTGGGTGTGTGGTTTGAGCCTTCTGGAGAGACTGCGGTGTGTGTTGACGGGGACTCTTACCAGCCCCTCGCCACTTTTGCTGCTGAGCCGGGCTCCGGTCTCTACACTCTTCACACTGGCCCGCGCGCTCAGCAGCGACTGCAGCAGCAGCAGCAGCCACAGCAGCAGCAGCAGCAGCAGCGGCAGCAGCCGCAGCCGCAGCCACAGCGGCCGCCGTCGCAGCAGCCACTCCTCCCAGTTCCTGTCCCTCCCCCTAGTCTCCTCCCTGCGTCTCACCAGGTGGTTCCGTCCCCTCAGGTTGTCGCGTCCAGTCCAGTCGCTGCGTCTTGCTCCTGTCGGTCGCTTGCCCACCCCACCGTTCTGTGGCACCACCGGATGGGACACCCTTCTCTTCCACGTCTGCGTGCTATGTCTAGTCAGCGTCTGGTCTTAGGTCTCCCGCGTGTCTTGCCGTCGCTGCCGCCGTCCCTTGCACCACCGTGCGGTCCTTGCGTCGAGGGTAGGCTGCGTGCCACCCCTCACTCCTCCTCCCTTCGTCCGGCCACCGAGCCTTTTGAGACGCTGCACTTGGACGTCTGGGGCCCCTCTCCTCGCCCTGGCCCTGAGCGTGAGCGTTTCTTTTTGGTGGTCGTTGACGACTACTCCCGCTACACCACAGTGTTCCCCCTGGCGAGGAAGTCTGAGGTGACTTCTACGCTGATCAGGTGGTTGCTTACCACCCAGGACACTCGTGGTCGTCGTGTCAGCTGTCTCCACTCCGACCGCGGGGGCGAGTTTCGCTCCGGCATTCTCGCTGGATTCTGTCGCGAACAGGGCATTCGTCAGTCCTGGACGCTTCCGGAGTCCCCACAGCAGAATGGGGTTGCTGAGCGTCGCATAGGCCTGGTCATGGAGATTGCCCGCACCTCCTTGACTCACGCCCGTGCCCCCCATTTCCTGTGGCCATACGCGGTCAGGTACGCCGCGCACCAGCTGAACCTCTGGCCACGCGTCTCTCGGCCGGAGGCTTCACCGACCAGTCTTTGGACAGGGTCCCCTGGTATCGCGTCGAGGTTTCGTGTCTGGGGGTGCTTGGCTCTTGTCCGCGACACCTCCGCGGACAAGCTCTCGCCTCGCGCCGTTCCTTGTGTCTTCCTTGGTTTCCCTGAGGACTCCTCTGACTTCACCTTTTACCACCCTCCCTCTCACCGGTTCTTTGACTCCCGTGACGTCCGTTTCGAGGAGTCCACCCCCTACTACGTCAGGTACCCCAGTCGAGGTCTCCCGGTCCCTCCCCCCCCTCTCTTCCTGACCGCCGCTCCCCCGCCTGCTCCCCCGGTACAGCCTCCCCC